TTTGTTGTTGTTATGATGTACTGACTATGATGGATTATTTTTAAATAACCCATGTTTGTTCTTTTTCAGAGAAGCAGGTATTACTTCAGGAAATTGTCATAACTTGTTAGCATAAGAAATTATTCATGTAATACATAGATGTTCTTTAAAAAGCTTTAGTCAGTTAGCATTGCAGTCTATAAATATCTAGTTAGAAGTAAGTTTCACTGAGTTAGCTGGTACTTCCTTGGCATAGGTTGGTATAGAAACACAACCTTAATTGGTAGATTAGTTAATAAAACCTGAGTTGATTAATCAAAAGGTTGCATTCTTCAGGAAATATTTTAATTGTTGCAGCTGAAAACTGTTAACACAATTGTTTATTTGGGGAGAGGCTATATTTGGTTCTTTTTTGTACTCATGAAACCAGGGGTCCCAAAGCATGGAGCCTACAAGCATATATTGTAAAGATGGGAAGGGTTACATTTTTTTAACCTACATCTCCTAGAATAGTGCAGGCAACATGGCCAGTTTACTAAAATAAACCTTCAGATAAGGATTTATTTTAGGAAGTTATGTGAGAGAATCACAGGACGTGCCAGAATGAAAAACTGACAGGACATGAAAGAAACTGCTGAGCATGGGAGCATTTTTAGAAATGTAAATATCATGGCAGACAAGACTTCAGCTACAAGGTAAATATATCTCAATGGGGCACTAGCAGTTTAACACCTAATAATGCGCTCAAGAAACAGTCCTGCTGTTCAAAGCAATATTGATTATTCTGACTCATGCACATTTGCTTTAGAACCAGATGTTGATATGAAAGAAGGATTGTAAAAATGAATGATGCACAAGTGTGGGTCGTGGAATGAATTGCTTTCCCTCTCATTGCATTGTATTATACACATGTAATGTGGACTGTTTCACAGAAACTGTAAACCTGAAGAACCATCATCTGGAAATAAATTTCACTGAAGTCAGTGACACTGATTTGCCCATACAGGTCCTCATTCAGGGTTAGAGTGTTGGAGTGGGAACTAGGAGGTTCACATGGGCATCGAGTACTCCTATAGCCGTGAATAACATTGGAAAAGTGTGGACCCATCACTCTCCCTGAGCCTCATCTGCCTCACTGAGTTGCTGTGGAGACGGTGTGGAGCAGAAGTAACCCATGTACTTCACTCTGAGCTTATTGATGAAAACACAGGCTATAAATGTAATAAACAGAATGTTGACTCAGTCAGAAATGAGTGCCATTTGTACAACCTGAGATATACATAAATGCTACCCTACTTATCTTATTGTGCAAGGTTTCCTCTAACCTTGCCCTCATCTGCACAGATGGATCACACATCTCCCCTTACTTTGTAACAGTGGCACTCTTATTGCAGCAAGACTTCTATGTACTGATGGAATTATCATATCAGGCCAAGATTTTACTGCACTGAGCCTTTTATGCTACAAACAACAACACCCAGTGTTTGCAATAGCATACCTTATTTATTGCTGTCAGAGATGAAGGAAAAGATAGCATCACCTTCCCAATTCCACATAAAGAAATTGGTTGTACTTCCTCATGAATATTGGTTGAGGAATAGTAACTTCTACCATGTGTGACGGAAGCATGCCAGTTTATGGCATTAAGTGTAGTGTGCCCACATGCTCTCCAATGGAAGGGGATGACTAAAGGGCTCAGGAGGAACTGCCAAAGGATTCCTGCAACACCCACCCCATAATCTGTTACCTCAGGCAGTTTACTCAGCCTACCTAATGGTAGGGCCTGTTGGACTACTTCTAAAATTTCACTCATCTTCCAATACTCATTTTATATGTCAGATTTAGAACCCACCATAATAGTAATGGATATTATCATAGGAAAAGGATGTTTACAGGTAAGGGTGTCACCTGAATAAAAAAAAATGTAGTGCCCAGAAACTGCTTACCATACCAAGCTTTTGCATCAGCTTCAGTATCTAGAATGGCACTGGGAATTATATAACAAAGTACTTCACAGTGTGGGGCATCGGGATGGCTACATTGGTTGGTACATTAGTGTTTTCTGTAACGCAAGCACTGATGACATCTCTAAGCTTAGTGTAGATAGGAACTGGAAAAGTACAGCCAGAAGATATGATTGGCCATGATTCTACAATGTGTGTACACTTTGTGATTGGAATAGGGCTTGGAAAGTTGCTTTTAAAAAGGCAATTCTTTATGTAACATGCCGTGTGACATAAATAGTAAGCTATTAACATTATATTATTTTAAAAGTTATATTATTTTAAAAGTAACTTATTGTAATATTGCTTTTTCTGTTACTTTTTAGTTCTGAAAGAAAATCTAAACAAGTGGGGAAATGGTATATAATTCAATGTAATATCCCCTAAATCAGTGATCCCCAACCTTGGGCCTCCAGATGTTCTTGGACTTCAACTCCCAGAAATCCTGGCCAGCAGAGTTGGTGGTGAAGGCTTCTGGGAGTTCTAGTCCAAGAACATCTGGAGGCCTAAGGTTGGGGACCACTGCCCTAAATAACATCATCACAAACACATGTTTTTGTTTAGTTGTTTAGTCATGTCCGATTCTTCATGACCCATGGACCAGAGCACGCCAGGCCCTCCTGTCTTCCACTGCCTCCCAGAGTTGGGTCAAATTCATGTTGGTAGCTTCGATGACACTGTCCAACCATCTCATCCTCTGTTGTCCCCTTCTCCTCCTTCATACTTTCCTAACATCAGCGTCTTTTCCAGGGAGTCTTCTCATGTGATGGCCAAAGTATTGGAGCCTCAGCTTCAGGATCTGTCCTTCCAGTGAGCACTCAGCTTCTGCTACATTGATTTCCTTTAGAATGGATAGTTTTGTTCTCCTTGCAGTCCAGGGGACTCTTAACAGCCTCCTCCAGCACCACAATTCAAAACACAAATATATAGAAAAAGTAATAAGTACATTTTACTCATCACATGGAAAAATACCAATACTATTCTAAAAAAAATAAAGAACTATGATTATGTCATCATTATCCTCCAAAATAACATGATACTGTACAGGTGATATTATCTCTTGTGATGCACTATTTACAAGCCTTGCACCAGAGATGCTAATATTCCTCTTATTCTTCCCATATTTACAAAAAAGTTCTTCTTTAATAGCAATGAGATTTTGACAGAATAAATCTGAATAATTGTTCCAAACAGATAGAACTATACAAAACAGGCTACCTAGCTGAGATCTATGTGGAATATATTCTGTTGCACTTCTGTCAATGTATAAATACATGCACCTGGGTGTTCATTTCAGTAGAGCCACTTTCTTTGGCTTTTTATTCTGATATGAGTGAAGGAGCGGGGAAATTCATAAGTGCAAATCAGCTTCTGCTACATGTGACAGATCAAAGGATCTTTTGGGTTTGCATAGGAACTCTTTGTTTTGGGGGAGATCGTGGGTGGGAAGAGTCATGCAGATGCCCCTGGCATGTGTATGGTTCTCTAGCATGAATCTATTCTTCTATGAAGGTGTATGCTAGACCCAAAGAGATTCGCATCTCTCACTTTTACCATTCAGGATAGATGAATAAATGTGGCTGTTCCCATGTAGATGCACAATAATGAGCTGCAATTACATTCTTAATAATAGAGAAGGTCATTGCATACAGTTATATATTGCACTCAGTAAGAACAAATGTTCAGCATTGTTAGTAGATAACTCGATAGTATAAAGAGACTTTTCTCAGTTCTGAAAAATAGCAGATAATGAGATAATGTACTCTGTGGTTCACTCAAAGTATGGTGTCACTTTGAATCTGATAAAGACAAATAAATACAAATCCTCTTTATTTTGATGCAGTTTCATATGGGACTCTAAGGACACCTAATAAATGATAAAAGGAAAATGTGCTTACAATAAAATTAATTGAAATAGATAGTGTGAATGTGAATATTTGGGAAGCTGAAAAGGACAATTGTTTAATCTTACAACAATCTGATAACTATCTTAAAGATAATAGCAGTGAGTTGGCTAAGGCCATGAAGTGAATGTAGGGATCAAACTAAACATTACAGATAGCTAGGCTGTAGAAACTGGAATCAATTAGTGTCCCAATGACATAATTCAAAGTGAGCTAATTTGCAGACAATGTAAAGTTCAATAAGCTCGTCTGTGACAATCAGACTTTTCAGCATTTCAGGAATGTCATCTTCTAAGGGTGCTATATATTAGGACAAAAGGGATTAACTAGGTTTCCAGAATTCACCACGAAGGAACACCATATAAATTCTTGCCAAGGTTCCTTCTGTAAACATGGTGATTAACAAAAAGTTCAGCAGATCCTACTGTATTCAGCTTGCAGCATTTGCACAAAAGACATGTGCTAGCCATATAGGTAGATGAACATATGGTTTACATTTGCCTTTCATATGAATTCATCTCTTGGGGTTACAAAGGGGTACTTCTAGCCTTTTCTTTGCATCAGTACATCATTGGCTGGTGGTAGGTTCTTCATGATACGTGAAGCTGTTCAGAATGATGCACCTCTGCAGTTGTGGCCTCATCTGGAATAGAGTTCCAATTAACAAGGAAAGAACAATCATCATTTTAGCATTACTTCTTTGGGGTGGCCTAGAGGGGAACTTTCTATTCTCTTTGTAGAATGCACTGATGGAGCTTTCAATCTCTCCTATTACTATTTGCATTCTAATTAAATAAAGCATTGTAATAAAATGTTAAATCAGTGCCATATCACAATTGCTAAAGGCTCAGTTCAATTATAAATTCATCAAGCTGTGTTCATGATGCTTCTATATTATGCATGCAAGATATCTAATGATGTCATTGTACTAAGTATCCCCTTCTAAAACTGTAGAGTTTTTACCCTTTAAATTTTAATCAGATTTGCTGTAGCAATTTTTAAAAAGGAAACAAACTTGCTTACAGTAGATATGTGCTTATTTGAGTTCTATTTACATACATATAATCTGTGATATTTTCTTTTCTCTTTTTTTGTACCTGCATTTTTTTTCCAGAGAACGATGAGATAAGCAACTATTTCCTTGGATGGATGTCTAGCAATATGAACTGAGTGTGAGAGCTCCATGTATGGATAAAAAATACACAATTCTATTTTTTTCAATGTAACACAAGACTTAAATGCCTTTGGATGAATTTTAGTTGAATGGGACCAGTGTACCACCCAATCAAATTTTTGCAGTTAAGGATTTGGAAAACAAACTTTTGCAAAGATGACCCATTTACATGCCGGACTCAGTCCAGAGACTATAGAAAAAGCTCGCCTGGAACTTAACGAAAATCCAGATGTTTTGCATCAAGATATCCAACAAGTCAGGGACATGATCATCACAAGACCTGACATAGGATTTTTACGTACAGATGATGCATTCATCTTAAGATTTCTCCGAGCCAGAAAGTTTCACCAAACAGATGCCTTCAGACTACTGGCTCAGTATTTCCAGTACCGGCAGCTGAACCTGGATATGTTCAAAAATTTCAAGGCTGATGATCCAGGAATCAAACGGGCCCTGATCGATGGATTCCCGGGAGTGCTAGAAAACCGTGATCACTATGGCAGGAAGATACTTTTACTCTTTGCAGCCAACTGGGATCAGAGTAGGTAAATGTAGATAGCGTACTTATCTTTCTAAATACAACATTTATTAAGTCATAATGAGGTGCAAACTTCTTGGCAATGCAATTATTTTGTGCCTTGAATAACCTTCAAATTCCTGAAATGTTTTTTTCCATTTGACTGATATGACAACCAACAATATACGATTTAATTTATTTTTTCCCTAAGATATGCATTTCACATTTCTTCACGCATACTGCAGGATTCATGAAAATAACTGCTAGAATGACTTTCATGCCTATCATGTTACACAGTTGGTTATATCACATTGTCTGAAATCCTGTTGCACAAGTTACAGCATGTAAGGCTAATGGTGTCATCAACTGTGATTTTTGTTGTTGTTGTTTGTTTTGGGAGGGGTTGAGGAAATGAAATATTTCCACTTTCTCCCACAATGGTCCCATGGCTCTCATGGAATCCCTCTTTTTGTTGGGAAGCTATAAGGGGCTGTGGGATGGGGGGGAGTATTTAATTACCACAAATGGCCATAACTGGTGAAGTCATTCCAGTGATGGCAATTTTAGGTAACTCCCATGGCCCCCAACAACTTCTCAATGAAGAAAGGAATTTCAGGGGGGAAATTGGGAATGTTTATTTCCCAAAAAGTCACCTTGGCAGATGACACTATTAGCCTTATGCAGCATAATTTACAGCAACAAAATTTCAGCCAGTGTGTGATATGATCATTGTGTCCCCTAGTACAATATAGTATTTTTAGAGCTGGATAAGTTAAAAACCCACATGCAGGTGATTTGATAGGTGCCATGTGACTGCAAGAGCTCTGATTTCTAAACCAAATAATCTAAAGAGTCAAAGGGAAAAGCTTCTTTGCTCACAACCACTCCTCCTGTATCAGCAGATGCCCATAAATCCTACTTTATTAACCTAAGAACTGTTAACTGTTCTTCATGAAAGTGTACAGAGAGTTGATTTCAAATGGAAAAGTGTTGGTGCTAGATGAGTCTGGGGGTAAAATGACTGTAAAGATATTTAAAGATACTGATCAAGTCAAATTGACATGCTTGCTAATAAGTTGTGATTCAGTACATATGATCAGCGACACATTCTCTTAAAATGAAAAACTATTTTTAAGGTTGATTATGCTTGTCCATTTTATAGAGCCCTGTATACAAATCCATTTATAGGGTCTGTGTTTAGTACAGTGCCTGTAAATAGTTGCTAAATTGTGTTTACAGGCATTGAAATTGGCATCATTTCTCACCTCCCTACATCTTTATTCTGGCGGGTCTTGGAAGGTACAATTAATGGTAAAATAATTTTGGAAAACCTCATGTTCTTGCTTCCCCCAACCTCCCGTACTTTGCCATGAAATGTGGGACTGCCAAAATTGCTGCTGTCTGCAGCAAGAGCACAAATGTTATACGTGACAGATTGAAGTCATTAGTTCAGAGCAATTGCACGTTGTTTAAAACAATTACATTTTTTTAGTCCATGGAATTCACACAGTGTTCTACATGGGGGCGGGGGGGGGAAGAAAGATTTTCATAGAATAATATACTGGTACTGAGACATGTGAAATGGTGCATAGACACTGAGGGGAAAGCGAAATGGTGTACTGTATTTGATTCAATCAGGTAATCAAAATTAACTCTCTCTTTATCCGGTTATAGAAACTAACCCATTGTAATGTAAAAAGTTGTAACAGGATACAAGATCATTTGATGAAGATAGTTGAATGGAATCTACAGGATGCCTGACATGTCTGTTGTCTCCTGTCCATTGAGCAGTTGTTGTTAGTCCTCTAAGATGGGTGTTCTAGTCCTGCTGTGTATGTGCAGTCTGAAACAGAATGGCCAAACAGATGGTTCCTTATGCTGCTTCCTGTCAAAAAGCAATGATTTGAAAGTAGCTGACTAAACCAGGAAATAGCAAGAACATGAAAGAAAAGATTAAGGAATCCAAGAAGCTAAACTGAAACCAAAATATCCTCAAAACCTCAGTGGTTTTACAACATAATCTTCTCCAACTGATTATGTTTGTTACTGAGCTTCTTCCTGAGAAGACTCAGGCAAAATGAATCAAGCCACCCACTGTACTAGGATAAGAGATGGGACTACAGCACCCAGAATTCCAAAGTCAGCATAGTCACAGTGGATTGTAGTCCGAAAAACAACAACGCTTCCCACCTCCGTACAGCATCCATATTCAGTGTGATTATTTTTGTTTCTCTTCACTTCTTGTCTGTGCATTGTAGAAGTTCTTGAAAACATGCCAAAAGGGGGAGGTAGTTTTAGTTTCTGCAGTCAGAATGGGCAACAATAAAATTCACTGAAGAATTTATAAGTTTGCTGTCTTACACTTTATAAATGTTGAAATTAGATTTTTGTGTCAGTTCTTAACTGATGAACACTAGGAAAATAAATCTTAAACCAACTCATTAAAAGACTTCCAAGATAAATAAGTGGCCACAAGGCCCGTTTTTTTTCCATATTTCTATAGAGCAGATGCTGTAAAGATATTTCTTCTTCTAATTCAGGGGTGGGCAACATGTAATCCTCCAGATGTTGTTAAGATTCCAACACCTAGGATGGTTAATCAATGAATACACTAGTGAGGGCAGGTAGGAATTAACAGTCTAAAAATATCAGGAGAGTCAAACTTCATCCATCCTTATTCTGCCTCTAGGATTACTTCTACTTCTCGGATATTACTTCAGGATTTTTTTTTTCCATAGTGGGACAAAGATCAAGAAGGACCAACCAGAAGTAAAATCAGGACACAGGAAGCTGCCTCCTATTGAGTTAGACCACTGCTCCATCTAGCCCATTGGAATCAACCTGGACAGGGGCTTCAGGCAGGATATCTACCTGAAATCCTTGGTATTCCCTGGAGTCCTCCCATTAGAGTGCTAAAAAGCCCAAACCTGCTTAGCTTCTGAGTCGAGCAAGAGCAGGTGTGTAATTTTTATGCAAAGATCATGGTTCCCATGGAATTCACAGACCTTTTGACTGGTGTGGGCAACTTTGAAGGAGCAAGATATAATTTTCCAGGTCTCACTATGGGCTACATTATCATCATTATTTTCTTTCTAAATGGTAGTTCCAATTCCCAAAATTCAGCTTCAAATTTTATTGTGGGGGGACTTTTCAGGGGATGAGTGGCCTAGCATTTTATGGCAAATGAGTAGAGACAACCCTGAGCAGAAAATGACATTTTTTCACCATCCTCCTCCCTCAGTCAAGGGAAATTGTGGTATGGGGGTGCTCAGGGTCCTCAATAATATCTTTGGAAGGTTCCATGCGGCAAAAAAGTTGTACTTTGCTATTCCTCCCATATTCCATCTTTATTAAGACAAGGGTAAAACTTGATGCACTCAGCACTACATCTTGTCCTCCAGAACAAATGTGACTGACAGTTCCTTTGCTCATTGCTTACCAAAATTCAGAGCAGTTCTATAGGGGCCTCAATACAGGCCCAAAGGACATTTGGTTTAATCTAGCTGTACTTGTTTTTATAAAACACTGAAGAACCCATCTATTTCAGCAGGCATTTTTTTAAAAAGTTGCTTTTACTATTTCCTAATTATCCTTACTGTCTGTATTGTGCCATTATGCTGCTTTGTTTTTAACTAATTGTGAGCAGTTCAGAGTTCTTTCTTTAAAGCAAATGAAAATATTTGAAGCAAACAATTGTCTGTAAAATTCAGTTCAACAGTGAAACAGTACCATAGTCGAGCATAGTAGAAAATTCTCCAGCCTTCCTGAAGCTAGTATCCTCTTTATATATATTGAACCCCAGCTAACATGGGCATACTTATTGGGGTGGTGGGACTGTAACTGAACACATTGGGAGGGGGCCAGATGAGAGAGGGTGCTTTAAATAAACAGCTGAATATTAAGACTCTGTTTTGATACTAACCATTCCTAATTATCCACTGCAATCTCAAATCATTTTTCCCTTGATAACATAGTTTGTTCTATACACCAAGAAGGTATGGGAAATAGCAATTTGAGATTGCCCTAGATTTCCTCTCAAATGTGAAGAAAAAAATTGTTACGTCTTGGTTGACAAGCATTTCTCTATTATCCTTTCTAGACAGAAAGAGTTCTGCTTTTGCTTCCCTTCTATGTAAGGAAGGCATATGTGATGTTGCCAGAGGAGTATGTATGAGAGTGTATGCCTGTCTGTTTTGGACGTGGGTTGAGTTTGTCTACAAAGAGTCTGTTGAAGTTGGGGGGGCAGAAGCAATGTGCCATTTGGTGTGGTACTCCCATCCCAGCAGTAAATGGCCCCTCGCAGCCTGATCAGCTGTGAACTACCTGATTGTCTGGTTGGGGAAGTGATTGTGTGGTTGGGGAAGTGAAATTATTTATTTTATGTTGCTCCTCTCACCCTCTGCCATTCTGTTTTCTATCTCCCCCCCCACTTCCTTTCCCTCATTCCCTCCCTATTTTCTCTGTCCTCCCTCATAATCTGCAGCCATGATGGCAGAAGCTGCTGGGGGCTGCTATCACCAGGCTAAACAACAAGAATGTCAAAAAAGAACGCATACCCTGCCACTGAGCTAGAAAGGTGTGTGGCAGCTCTTACAGGGGAAGGATTGACCATTCTAAGTAGAAACACTTGCAAATGAGGTCTCTCCCCGCACCCCGAACCAAACTATGCCATCAGTAATCCATATGCCATATGTATATGCCATTGTGGACAGGCAGTTTATTTATTTATTTAAAATATTTTTATCCTGCCTTTCTTCTTAAACAAGACCCAAGGCAACTTCAGTTGCTAAGGCATATATTCAGTGGAATGTGTCCTTCCTGCTCTTTCAATGTCTTCTCCTAAGCAACAGTATCTGCTTTGCAATGTGTGACTCTGGAATTAGATGCACAAAGGAAACCACCATGTTTGCAGTCTAGAGATAATCCAGATGACATGTTTGCCTTCCCCCTTTAATGTCATTTCCCAATTACAGCTTTTCCATTACTTGAAAGAACACTTTGAGAAATACATTTCTCTGAGCATGTGCT